CTAACGAAATGGTGCTACTATTTGCAGCAAGTACTCCAGCACCAACCTCGATGTTCTCTGTAAAAAACAGTAGACGAAAAATAACTATACGATTAATGTTTAATTTACTAAGAGATTGCCAAGACGTTTACCAATTTGCGTTATTCGTTGATCCGCTTCTTTTTTAAAGATAGGCGCCTGAATAGAATGTGTTGCTGGATACATAGTCTGTGGCATATTTGAAACGGGGGACACAAATTCTCTAAAATTCTCACGGATTAGATTACGCAATTCTCTGTCCAGCTTCGGCGACTCAAATAGCGGATGCAAGTTTGGAATGACCTATATTCGGAACTAGATTTCAGTAATCGTTCATTGATAATAAGCAATTATGACTTACCTGTTTATCGAGTATCAACTTTAAGGAATTATATACCCCCAATCTTATTTTATCCTCGTTCTTTATATAAAAGTTCTTTGTAATGCGGCACAAGAAGTCGAGCAATGTGCTGCTTACAAAGGGATGATTCCGAATGGAGTGGTACATCACCAAAATGCCGGGCTCGATATTCATGATATTGTCTTTGGCCGGATCGAAAAATAGCCAATCATAGAAGAGTGACAATTTGGCATTAGCCGATGCAATTGGATTCGTACACGATGAGATAAGCCAGCCAATTATGGCCCAACGTGGGATAATATCCGAACACAGCATGTCGTTTGTTGGGTGAATTACGTTTATGATGAAGCGAATTAAGTCAGACCGCAAACTGTGCGATTCGGGTGTTGCAAAATATTTGTCCTGAAACCAATCCTGGTAGCGTTTCTGATTTCCAAATTTTACGGAAGATGCTAAAAAATGGAGTTTTCGCTCCATTTCTGGAAGTAACCGACATTGTAAAAATCTCCGACTAGTACGTATTTGTAATAAATGCCAAATTCCGTTAAATGTCGGATGCAAGCTTTTCGGATTGTATAATATATCTCGCCATAATTGTTCGAATTCCGGAATGCGTGCAACATTTTGTAATAGCCTGCGCAAAATTTAAAATAAGTTAAATTTTATCTAGGCAATGAATAAAAAATGTATTTTGTTAAGGCGTTCAATATTCGTTGAAAAGCTGTTTTCAGAATTTTACAATATCTCTGAATAAGCAGCATTACATACATGCATTTTTTATGATATACTTAGACTTACCGTACAAAATCTCTTCCCAACGGTATAATGTCATGAAAGCGATCCCGAATCAAAGAAATTGTGAATTTAACTTCCTTTTGACGTAACGATATCAAGGCTGGATTGGCATGGTCTTCTATAAGGCGCACAAAACTGTAAACTGATGACTGTACAAGGAAAGGATTGGTTTCTAGCCACGCCCTGTACTCGATGAATATATCCAATAGACTCTCAACGAGGAAGAGATTTTTATGGGACACATCTCCACCTCCCGCTTGACGTAAACAATTCCAAATCACATTCTCGACGCTAAGAACCTGGTGCTTCACAAATTCACGTAATACCCAGATCAATTGTCTCCTGGCTGTCTCCGTTAACTTGGTGTACTTTTCGGCCACTAGAAGTGTAAGATTTGCCACAATTACGTTCATTCCATCCCTAGACACAAGTGTTATGTCCCGATATGTTTTCGGAGCCATTGCCGGATCAGTTAATATGATGTATAGAAAGCCAATAGAAATCTCCTCATGCTGTTTCTCTTTGCAGACAAACTGTGTTAGCATATCATGCATTTCCTTATCACTGAGGCCTGCAATTTGTTGTTGCAGGCTAGCGTAAGATCGTTCGAATTTCTGTATGTGCATTAAATAAAAAATAAATATCTTTATAAGTGCGCACACTCATATATACAATTTTATATGCGAATTTACCTCTTCGATTTCATCTTTACAGTCAACAGCCGTGCAGACAAACAACTTAGAGACGTGAACTGCGCTTTTTTGTTGCTGTTGCTCCATTTGCAAGTGTGGTGTAGATACTTTGTTTAAGTTTTGTTCCTTATCAGCTGATATGATTTCAGTTCTAATTTAATTTCATAATTACACAAAAATAGAAACTGAAATATTGGAAAACCGAATTCATAAAACTTCATTTATTAAACCATTACTATGTATGTTGGTATTTCTGTTTTGGTTTGTAGACAGAAAAAAATATGGTTGCCTAAAACAGGGATGCCATCATTAAAGTTGCCAGATAAAAGCAAACCTGTGCCACCAGATCTATATAGTTTTAATTGAATTCGTAGTTACAACATGGAAGTACTCGAGTTCTATACTAGTTTGCAGTATTTTAAAATAAATATTATATACCAAAAGCTTGTTGAATTTGTGAGCTTTATTATTTATTTTAATCATGTTAAGATTTGTCATGTTAAACAATAGATTATACTTACTTTCGGTTTTATATATAAAATTATAAATATATAATGGCTAAACAAATAGCATAAATCAAAACATTTTCCTAATATTGTCATTATTGATATTTGTTTTTTTTTCTAAATTTACTTGTAACAACTAATATCAAAATTACCATATATGATATATCGGTTATCGTCCAATTGTAAGTCACTAACTACTATCGCCATACATATTTTTTCTTGTTTGCATTCGTATATATATATATAAAAACAATTCATATTGTGAAATAATCAGACAATGGAGGAGTTGCTAAACGAAGTGGTGCCCCAGGAGGATTTAGAGGTATGTACATAAATATAAATATACAGGCTCCGAATATTTGTAAAATATTTATTTTACAGAGATTCGAAAGGAAGTACCTCCATGAGTTTGAGCTCGATGGGGAAGTCTCAACAGAAACAAAGTTTGAGTACGTAGCTTAATTTTGTCTTTCTACAAATGTATATATAAATATGAAACAATATAAATTTGTAGATACGCTTTCTGCTTGGTCCGGAGTCGTTATACAAATGACATTCGAAAGGTGAGTCAGTAATTTATATTGAACAATTGAACTATAAATTGTTTGTGTATTTGTATGTATGAATATCATTTATGTACACCTGAATTTACTATGCCTTTATAATTTTGCAATTTGAATCAGGGTATTATGATTTTGGAAGATCTTTGTCGCTTACATCCAGATGGACGACGTGATTATATTTATTATCTTGCCTTTGGAAACGCACGAATTAAAAACTATACAGAAGGCCTAAAGTACTGTAGAGCATTTCTGGATATTGAATCTAATGATCAAGTGCGGTCATTAGAGGTAAGTTTATTATCGAAACAGGTTGGCTTACAAATGCAATTTCGTGAATTTTCGTAAATTTTTCTTTGTTATAGGAATACATAAAAAAACAAAGCGATAAGGAGGTTGCAAAGGGCATTGCTGTGGCTGGAGGAGCTGCCCTTGTGCTTGGTGGAATTTTGGGCCTAGGAATTGCGATGGCTAGAAAGTAAACTATATTTTTAATCCCGACTATTCCGCATCCCATTTATTTCCAAAGACCTTATATTATCACAAAACAATGATCATAATTTATAGACAGATTTAGATGTAAATACTTTATATTTATATTAAATTAAATGTATTAACTGTTGTTAAAATATTTCTCTTATACTTTTCTTATAGTAARCAAAAACGCGATAAATAGTGTAAAAATATGATAGAGCTCTTACGGAATCCAAATTCCCTCCCAAATGTATACATCTATGTACCATCATTGTGAGGACGTGGTTCAAGCACATAGCGCCAATTATTCAACTTCATTCTATTTCTCTTAAATGCCCTGTTTAATAATAATTAATTTTTTATTGTCAGTTATACTTTTAGCTAAGTAATTGTTATTAGCAATTTATTATATGTTAAACTAATACACTCTGTTCATTACCAAAAAATGATAGTGAAATAAATCATCAAACTATTATTTTTGTTTCCAATTATTCCCTTCAACTCTAGGGTAATAAATTTTTAGATGAAATTTGGAACTTAAGGATAATTAAGAGAGAACAGCTCGGCAGCATAGCTTATTATTCTTGTTTGTGCGTTAATAAAATAGTGAAATGAAATAGTGCATTCTATCGATTAAGAAGCTGACTTATTGGTGATCGCTCGAAAATATATAAACTCCGCTACCCGATGTACTCCAAAGAATTGAATAAAGTTATCAGTGTATAGTTTTCTGCAAATGTCACTCTGCAATTCAAACCACAAAAATTGATAAGCCCCTCAACGGACTGTAAGTGTGCATGCTCGTCTCGAAAATATATCTATCTATGTGCATTAAAACTTTGATACTATTCCCACAAATAATAGTGAAAACGAAAACAGAGTGTATAAGATTGTATAAGAGAAAAAATATATTAAACAATTGAATTACATCATACAATTACCCATATAACCCCTGCCTCTTGGTACAAGAAATTTTCTATTAAACATACGAAACCAGAATGAAACCAGAATGATTTCGTAAATCATTACGTACAGAAAATAGAAAGCTTCAATCGATCTTCATGACAATCAAGGAAGTTATATGTATATGTACATATGTATGTAAATATCGCGGACTCAAAGTTTTTCATCTTCAAAAAACGATGTAATTACTTAGCACCTGAAATAGCAGGACCACACGCACCCGCAGCAGCAAACTAAATACACTGAATGACTTTGCTATGCAAACTGCACTTGAATGAATGGGCGAAGCAATAGGAAAACGTGGACATAGAGCTAGAATGCTTGACGCAAGGGTTCAGACCCAACTTACTCTTTCACAACCAAGCAGGCAAGTAAATAGACAAGGAGAGAGGCAAGTGGCACGCACAGTAAACGCCGCCATACACGCAGGCATCAACTTTACAAAATCTTTTCATTTGACAAATTAAATACATCAGTTTTGTAAGTTTTTTTTGATCAATCATTTATATTTATTTATAAGTTTGAGTTAATTATTTTTTACTGTTACCCATTCTAAGAATATGTACGGTGTACGAAACAGCAAAATAATTGTAAATAAATGCATCCGTTTCCAATAAATAGTTCTCACATGATGATATTGCATCAATAATTGATGATTTCTTTAAGAGCGGTTAGGCATCGGTGCTTGTCGGGTAAATAGAAAGGTTCGAAAACATGGGGGAATGGTGTGTCCCAGCCAGTGACCCTTTTTATGGGTGCTTCAAGACGTAAAAAGCATTTTTCTTGTATATATGCTGCTAATTCAGAGCCGAATCCTTGAGTAAAAGGCGCTTCATGGGCAATCAAAACGCGTCCAGTTTTATTAGCAGACTATAGGAACGGAAAGATTTTAAAATCCCAATAAATAATGAAAAAAAAAAAACTTACATTGCAAATTGTCTGAGTGTCCCATGGCAAAACGGAAACCAAATCTATAACTTCACAGTCTATATCCAGTTCCTTTTTTGCCAGATCTGCGACCTACAAGTAATTAACATAGTCGATATGCCTATTAAGATTTGGGCCAAGACTTACCTCCAAAAGGACATGAATTTGTGTACCCCAGCCAATGAGGGTAATATCTTTGCCTTCGCGTAAAATATCGCACTTTCCCAAATCATCTGCATAAGATTCCACTGGTACTTCCTCCACTGCAGCACGATATAAGGTTTTAGGTTCGAACATAATGCATGGGTTCGGATCTTTTATGCACGCCAACAACAGCCCCTTTGCCTTAATTGGACCACGTGGAATCTGCAATACATTTTAAATGATTATTTAATAAAATGATTGCATAAAGTACTAAAAGCCTTACCACAACACGTAGACCGGGGGTATGTGCGAAGTATGCCTCGGGACTCTGTGAGTGATATAAAGCCCCATGTCCAACAGCGCCACAAGGAACTCGGAAAGTCAACGAACCGCAGTCGAATAATCCCCCACTTCGATAACGATATTTGGCAGCCTCATTCACGATTTGATCGAAGCTTGGAAATATATAATCAGCAAACTGAATTTCGGCTATTGCAGTAGTGCCAGTATTAGCAACACCAATTGCAAATCTATTTAAAAACAAACAGGAATCTTTGATGAAATTCTTTGAAAAATGCAATCAATTTTAATTAATAGCTTAAATTTAAATATAAATATACCCTTTTAAAATATTAGAATAAGATTAAGAATTGTTTTCACGTGAAGCAACCCCTAATAAAGAGTTCTATTTTCAAATTAGTACTGATAGGGCTTACAGTAAGATAATTTAAAATTGCTTAAAAACTTGATCTTAAAGCCGCAGCTACTTTTATTATTATGATTAACAACATTGCAGTCGGGCCCCATTAGGATACTTCAAAATTAAAGCTAAAGAAAAAAAAAAAAATCTGTTCAACTTTTTCGAAATTTCAATTTTATATATACATATATATCCATCATATAAATTTTCTCCGGCTTTTGAGCTTCATATAAATTAATAGCTAACGGATCTTGGATACGTACCCAGCAATGCCTTGCTCGCACAAGGGCGTATTAAAAACCCGATCTTTTCCGTACTTATCCCTCAAGTTCATAGAGCAGCTATTGAAATACAGAAATTAACATAAGTATGTCAAAAAGTGTATTATAATATTTAATTGAGTTAATACCGAAAAACTCCACCAAAGCCAACATCTTCTCCAAATAATAATGCTGACGAATCTTGCTCAAGAGCCAGATCCATTGCATTGTTTATGGCTTGGAACATATTCATTTTCTGCACATCGTGGGTGCCCTCAGCTAATTTAGTGGGGTAATATGTGAAATGTGAACGGGTAGAACATCTCGCATTTGATTTTATTGCACTGAGCAATCCCCGGGCCAGAGACGATACTTTCATGATCACTCTTGAAATTAACGGAAAGGATAAGGAAGTAGAAAAGTAACACGATTGCGCAACAAAGCATGCAGAATCGGCAATAAATATACATACGTATGTAAATATATAAATTTTATGTAGCAATGTATATAATGTACATGTTATCACAATGATCGGGTGGCATTGTGCTGCCGGATCGTTAAGTCTTCCAAAAGAAAATATAAAGGGTACTCCCAAATAATTGTTTTTTTTTTTTTTATTTATTATTATTATTTTTTAAATTTAATTGAAGTTTTCAAATAAAAACAAGTAACCAAAATTTATACATATATCATACGAGTTGTTTGATGACCTTTTTCAAACTAACTTCACATTTTAACCACTAACCAGTGTTCTCTGGTTAGTGTTTTAACGCAACCCAAATTTACTCTTATCGATATATCGATATTTTAACTAAATATAAAATATTCAATATCGCTAGTTGCTCATCCCAATAACACCGAGTTGAAAATACCAATAAACAATATAAATTCCGTTTACCCTCTCTATAAAAGTTTTTATTTATCAAAAAAGTTGATCTATATTTAAAAATGTCGAAAATTATAGAAATACCAGTACATGCACAGAAGTTGTTGACTATATTTAGAACAATTATACCCAAACTGAGCAATGGAAAATATAAAGGTCAATATGGTCGAATTGGTGTAATTGGGGGCTCTCTGGAATATACTGGAGCTCCATACTTTGCAGCAATTACTGCTATGAAAGTGGGAGCCGATTTATCACATGTGTTCTGCCATACTAATGCAGCGGCAGTGATTAAATCGTATAGCCCGGACTTAATTGTACACCCAGTCCTGGACTGTGAGGATGCTGTTGAAAAAATAAAGCCTTGGATGGAACGATTACATGTTATAGTATATTTCAATACTCTGAAATAATTTTTTACCTCAATTACTAATTAGACACTGTTTTATAGGTAATTGGACCAGGCTTAGGGCGAGATCCTAGCATTCTTAAAACTACAACAGATGTCATTAAGCTTTGTCTGGAAATGAGAAAACCAATTGTCATAGACGCAGATGGGTTATTCATATTAAATGATAATATCGAGCTAGTATGTGGAAAACGAGATGTGATTTTGACACCTAATGTAATTGAATTCGAAAGATTGTTTGGTAAGGATACCGCGACGGCACACGAAAAGATGTCATTACTCGGTGATGGGGTTGTGGTGCTTGAAAAAGGCGCCCATGATAAAATTCACATACCCCATACTAATGAAGTATACAGCATGCCAATCGGTGGATCAGGACGTCGTTGCGGTGGTCAGGGCGATTTGCTTAGTGGATCCCTAGCAACTTTCTTTTGTTGGTCTTTGCAATCGAATCAACCCAATCCAGCATATTTGGCGGCTTGTGCCTCTAGCTATTTCGTTAAGAAAATAAATTATGCAGCATTTCAAAAACTGGGCCGTAGCTTGGTTGCCAGTGATATGATAAAGGAAATATCCTCAGTCTTTAAAACTGAGTTTGAAAATTCGAGCTCTGATTAGTATATAAATAGAATTAACAACCAGTGTAATCGATGTTTTCTGGCTTAGAGACCCATTAGTCCGTAACGGCCAATCCCATTGAAAGGTTACGTTAACAGTTTGTTATAAATTCTGTTGAATAATTATATAGGTAAGAAATTACCCAGTGACTGATATTAAAATATTTATGAATTTATAAACCAGAGAGACAATATTAATTAGTTAGATCGTTAAAAATCAAGTTCGTTTGTCTAGTGCTTAATAAATACTAGTATTAAGAATTAGATTGTCAAGGTATGCCAAGTAAATTTGTTGGAAATAATTTAATTTACCTTTTTAAAGTATTGACATTAGCTTTTCTTATCAAAAGAAATACGAAACAGCTCGGACAAAATAAAAATATAAATTAAACAATATTAAATTGAGCTTTTGCTGCTTTTAACTGTTTTATAATAAACAAAATTGAACAACAAATATAAAAAAAAAAAATAATAATTCTATAGATAATTTTAAAATTTAAATGTTTTATTTTTATCTTTGTTAAGTTTAAAAGAAAGGGGTAATGATATACCGCCGCTGGTATTTTTGTACAATAAATTTGGCGTATTTTAGTACTTTTCGCCATGCATTGGAGTTTTGGACGATACGCGTTATAACTTATAATGTTGTTGGTTTATTACTTATAGTTTCTTCTTTCTCTGCTTTGCTTATACATACATATGTATATGAATTGGTGTGATTTATAATTGCATATATTGCACAAATTATTTTTTGCTTAGTTAATAAATGATACCTACACGGAAACGAATTTTTATATTGTTATTCTTAATTGCCACACTAGGGCTTTTACTGCGAATTCTATCCTATCCTCGGACGCAGTTAGTTTTAAAGGTAAATATTTGATATTTTCCAATGAGTTGGCTGATAATGCAATGTTTGTATGTATGTATGTGGCTTACCTACATATACAGTAATATCTAGCCAACCTGCTTGTATACTAATAAAAAAAATTTAAATGTTATTTTAAAATGCCTGATATAATACACATACTTGAATAAAATTAATAAACTATTTCCTATTTTGCAGGAAGAACCACATTATCGAAGAGCTCCAGGAGCTCCACTGCCCGTATTGGTAACCGTATTTTATGAGGCTCTCTGCCCGGACTCTAAATATTTTATTACTAAGCAATTGCTGACCACGTACAAAGCTGCAGCGCCTATAATGGAGGTGCAACTTGTACCTTATGGCAAGGTATACCGAAAATAAATATATTATTCTATTATGCTTATCAACAAATTAATTTAAAGGCACACACCACAACCGATAATGAAGGCAAATTCATATTTGATTGCCAGCACGGTCCGACGGAATGTCAAGCAAATATGTATCATGCATGCGTTTCTGAAGTTATTGATGATGCACTTACTCGACTAGAAGTTGTGACCTGTATGATTCGAGACAATCGAAATCCCAAAGATGCTATGCAAAAGGTTCACTTGCTTCATACATTAATGAAACTCAAAATTACAAATGAGTGCCTCCTTTTTTTAGTGTACCAAACAATACAATGTAGAGAATGCTGATCTCATCCAGAAGTGTTTTGATAGCAGCCATGGATCTGAACTAATGAAATTGAACGGTGATGCGACACACGCACTTCGACCCCCAGTAACATTCATTCCAACGATAACATTAGACGGCTCGCAAGGCAACCAGGCTTCCATTTTAAAAGATTTGTTCACTGAGATTTGCAAATCAGCTGGAGGCATTGCGAAGGCGGAAAGTATTTGCAAAAATCATTAGGTTAATATTAATTAGGACAAAGTGCAACTTTTATTGACAATTTTTTATGCATTTTTTGTTTTTTGTTTGTGCAAAATTTTTACAAACATAAACATGAACGGAAACACAAATATTTGTTTTAAATTAATTATTCGAAACCACTACATACAACATCTTTTTAATATAGATTAGCCTAAACACTGTTGCTGAATTGGATTGCGCTGATACATGAAAACATATATCTGTTATCTGTCATTGATTCGACGAGCCATCTCTGTATCAACAGAAATTAATATTAGATTGATTTATATGTATTCCAATATCTACGTCAAGAGTGTTGTCTTTAATGATTGTGGGATGCAAGGGTGAGCCCTCAGCAGAACGTTCACTGACAATGGAAACTGTAAATTTCTTTATAAGGCAGCTTTTTGAATCACAAAGGCTTAATGCAAACTCTATTGTTAAATCGTTTTGATTAGTTGCTTCAGTCCTGACACTTCTGGACGATTTATTATTAAGTTGAAGGCTACATTTACCCTCAGCTAATATACCGTTTAATTGATTTATTTCCAATTCTGGATTCAGGAATTTTACCATCCACTTCTGTGGTGCATCCGGAGTAAATTTAAGATCGGATGAGAGTCTCATGCTGAAATTGATGTTGCAGTTTCTATAATGAAGCACAGGAATCTTTTTTACCAACTCTAACCCACTGATTTTTGATAGAGAGCGCGGAGCGTCTGTTTCAGTAGTATTCGTAATTTGATTAAAGTCCAGTAAAAAAGGTTCAGCTGTAAGTGACGCTAAATCAATTATATGAATGCCGTGGTTATTTGTATCAGCAACTAGTAATCTGTTTCTATCAGCGTCAACACAAAGGCCAGACGGCTCTCTAAGAGCAAGCGTGCTACCATCTTTGTTTTTTATAGTTAAGGTTGAAATTATATTAGTTTCAGTATCAACTTGTTTGATTTTATGATTATACGTATCAGCCACATATAGCTTCTTATCGACGTTGTTATATGATACGCCCAATGGATGCTGAAGTTTTGCATTGTACAGTTTGCCGTCTTCGTCTCCAAAAGCAAATAGGTTCTAAAAAATTTTAAAAACTCATGTTACATAAATGCATATAATTGACACATCATTTTATATACCAAAGGATTGCGATCTCCACCAACAACTGGCATTACTTTACCATCGACCATTGAAGCTTTGCGTATACTAGAGCTCTCACTGTCGGCTATGTAAAGATAATCACTGGACATGGCCAAGCCTGATGGCTGTGCAAACGCTGCGTTCTGTGGATAGGAGTTGTTTCGGTTTTCCTCAAGCCCATTGCCAATAAGCGCAACGCAACAACGTGGCTCAAACTTTCGAAATTTCCACCAAATAATGCCTTCGGGGAAATAGCCCCAAATCTGATGAGTGCCAGCCATGGCTATCAGCACTATTGTTTTCTCAGGCACATTAAGCTCATCTAGGTGGAAAGACATATCCATGTCCCGGGTGCGAAACACCGACACATCCCACGGCGATGATAGTGGCTGCAATGGCCCCAGTTTCCCACCGATTCGTTCATTGCCTTGACTACCCGTTCCGGCTAGCGTTTCAACAACTCCGTTGTTCAGGGAAATTTGCCGAAGTGCATGATTATCGGTATCGGCCACTATGAGCGTATTTTTATCAAGAAAGGCAACACCCTGGGGATTATTGAATCGCGCCATATTTAAAGAGCCGTCCACAAACCCTGCCTCCAGTCCGCCGATTTTATACTTTACGACCCCACAATTGGTCACCACAATAATCCGATTGTTTCCAGCATCAGCTATAGCATACTGATCTTCTAGCATAGCAATTTTTGCAGGGAAACGTAAATTGGATGCCGGCAAAAGGTCTGTTGACAGCTGTAGTGGTAAGCTGGAGAAGTTAAGTTTTTGTTGGCGATCAAAAAATGATAACGCCTCTCCAGCAAAGTCGCGAAGAAACTCACCATGGCCTTCACCCATTAATAACAACATGGGCATCCCGCTTGGACTTAACACCAAAAGCGAAGGCCAACAGCGAATGCTTAGAGCTCGCCATAGAGCAGATTGCGAGTCATTAACAATGGGATGTTTAATGCCATAGCGCTGCGCTGCCGACAGTATGTTGGCTGCTGTTCGTTCATTTTCAAATTTCGGACTATGAACGCCCACAACAACAAGTCCACTTTCCACTGGAAATCTCTCTTCCAAAGCTCGAAGCTCTGGCAACACATGCATACAATTAATGCAACAGTAGGTGAAGAAATCCAACACGACTAATTTTCCGCGTAAGCCAGCAAGTGTCAATGGTCTACTGACGTTGAACCAATCCAAATCTGTACGAATATGTAGATATATAGATATATACATTTTTTATAGATGTACAAAAGAGAAATCTTGCAACATACCAGTCTCGAATTCAAAATTTAAAGACTTCACCTTCGCAAGAGAACTGTCGTTTGTATCCCATCGTCCCAGAAATTCGTCAAAGATTTTTGCTTTATTGGCTCGGTTACTAAGGTAATTTTGCTGCAGTTGTTCAGTTACGAATGTAACGATGTCGATTGCAGAAAATTCCTCCGAGTTGTCCATAATTAAATCACTCTTATAACTTTTGTATGTCTTGATATGCTAGATACCAACAATACCGAATAGATAAGTTTATTATGCAGAGTTCGCCTGTTCCGGTTCAATTGAATAGATCATTAAAATGAACGACTGAACTTGTTCAGGTGTGTTTCAGAAAACGAAAATTGTTTAGGATCAGCACATTTGAATTCACATAAATCTCGTATATTTTAAAAACATAAATTTACATAAGCAAATAAAATTATTTTAAACTCGATTCAAAATAAAAGTTTTGTGGAAGAAAGCCTTTTCTAATAATGCAAATGTATATTAAAGAATTTAATTCATTCCATATAAAAATATATAATATGATCAACACAAAACAGGTACAGAAATTCTTGGTATGTGTAGAATTACAGCTTTATTCAATATATTTTTTATATTTGTATATTGTTGCGGAAAGCCTTCAGACAATCAATATAAATCGGTCCTTATATAGTCTAAATAAAATCTGTTTAGTATTTTTATTTTATTTTGATTTTTATTTTTAATTGATTATTTAAGTTTAATTATCTATGGCGCTACGGTCACACTGCCGGTGGCTACATACATACGTATATAGTGCATTGCATAGGCAGGCATATTGCTTTTAGGGGCTTTACTTGTGCCAACAAAATATCACTCGGACGAATTTCGTGATATTATTGTAATATAATTGCTAAACAACACTCAAAAATCATAACAAATACGTATTATGGAAAAGAGTGAAAAGTGTTTCAAACAATGTCATAAACGGACTAAAGTGTCAAACTCAAAAATAGTTACCAACACCTCAGTTTTGCGAATGCCGCGTGTGAGAGATGGAAAATCAATTGCACGTCCAAAATTATGTGTTACACTGGAGTGTCTACGAGACATAAAAAGCATTTATCTTGCTTTGCTAATTACAATTTTAGCGTTAGAAAATTGTAAATTGGCCTACGGATCTTTTGAAAATGTCGACTTTGATGGCGTTGCTCCGTTAACAGTGTTAAAACCATTGAATTTAATGACAAATCTGCTGGCAGAAGAAAACATAAATAACTCTAACACAGAAACAAATATACTAAAGGAATTGAAGTTGCCAGAAACACAAACAAGGCAAGTTAGAATACAATATACATGTATTTCAATAATAAATCTATTGCGATAATGAATCTATATTATATAGCTAGGCGACCTTTACGTCTTTAGATGTTAATTAATTCTATGCTTTACAGAGGAGCATCATATGCATTTGATTTTTATTTGAGAAAAATCTAGCATACAAGTTATAAAGTCTAATTTATCTAGTGTCTGAATCTGCCTACTCTCCTCAATCTCTCAGCTGGAATTCATATTGCTAATTTTAGTTTTAGGGCTTACATATTTGGAAGCTCCCAATCATGTTTTGTTTACATTTGTGACAGATTGTCACTCGGGTAGAGCTGCCACCTAGTTAGAATTTAAACATACGTTTTAAATGTAAAAATGTTTTAAGAATGCAAAACATATACTTAATTAAACTGGTTTTATGACATGTTACAGCTAAATATATGTTTATGCTATAAACTTTAAAATATTTAAATGCCATAAGAATTAAAACGAAATTGCATTCCTGTCGTGCCCCCATTATATTTGCGTAAAACTCAATTTAAACTGTTAATTATATACCATATATATTGTATGCGGTATAGCGCGGTCGCCTCGACTTTAAAGATTTTAATAGGTAAACACAGCAGTTCACAGTCTACCGGATAAAGGGATGTTTTCATTTTGAGCTGACTGTTTAATAACAAAATTGAAGCATTCATGATGCGTACATACATATGTATTAAATATGTAAGCAATAGCCGGCAAAGGCGTATTGTTATTAATTATATGCAGATAATGTTTTGTTTTAGGAGTTTACTGTTGCTAAATTCTTGTAAAAAGTCAGTATGGTCCCCTTCAAAAGTTTTAAGTGAAAATATTTCATCTTATAAATATGTCACAAATAAAAATAGGTTCATATGTATGTATAATAAAGCTGTTTTTCTGCATTGATAAGTTTATATTTCCATATTTGTTTTCAATGCTCTAAAATACAAATATATGCGTTGATTAACACATTATAGCTTACTAAGAGATTAACAACTTTTGCCAATCTTTGTCAGATGCAAGCGAGTATATTAGTTTTGTGCAATGTTCCTCCAAACCTAGGCTTAACTCTGTACATTATAAAAGATTTATAGATATGAGAAGCATAAAACATTTTTTCTCTACAGTTGTTTTTTTCTATCTTTGCTGATTTACACGTATCATACGCACCATCGTATCGAAACATACTATGCTTAGATATACGTATATAAGTATGTGATTTTACGCATATATGTACATATATATATCCAAAATACCAGTACGAAATAATACGTATTCCTCGACCTACTAACAACATATAAAGAATCTCAGTCCCCAGTTCCACTTGTATGCGATACCGATAACCATATTTATTTTATTATTCTGTGAAGGCTGGCTGTGACTCAATTTCTTGGTCTTATCATTCACTGTTTATCACCGCACAATACACGTTCATGCACATACATAGATGTATGTATGTTCTTGTCTACACACTCAACATACATATCCCCACATGTATGTAAATACTTCCCAGCGAGAATATCTGTTTGCTTGCTTTTAGATATTCGCCTAATTTAGTTGACTTGTTGCCTTAATAAATCTGAAAAAGCTGAATTCGCTGAAGTAAAAGTATTAAGGTCACAAATACATTCATGCTTCTGTGCGCGTGCATATGTGTGTATGTATGTATACATACTCGAGAGACATCCATATAAATTTGAATGAATTTTTTCTATGTTCACGTCCATACAAATTATTTAAGTAGCATAGCCAATATGTATATACATATGTATGTATACATATGCTGTATTGTAATTATAGAAATATGTCAGTTTTGTCTATGAATGTATGTAAGGATGTATATTATATTTGCATCGCGTATGTTTTGGCTGCCAAATCTATTTATAATAATTTTATGTGTGAAAAGTATTGCCATTTTTTAAATATATTTTTTGTGTATGTACGTATACGTGTATATGTATATAAATTTACGAAAGTGTGTGTGAACATAAAATGGTAAAAAGATAGACAGTCAAAACATTAATTAATTTCTAGTTGATATTTTTAGTATAAACAAACCAGGGTACTCTACAGTTGTGCAAATGCATATCTAAAAGAGAAATGTTGGCATAAACCACCTATCACTATCGATGTAGCCTGATCTGATCTCTATAAGATCAATAATCAATTTTATATTAAGAGCTGAAATTGAAGAGAACTCAAAAGTTACTCTCTACACTCCGATATACTATGTACAAATAAATGTATATTTATTTAACTTCTTTAAGTATTGTTACATAAAATAGCTACTCGGGCGATTAGCTCAGTCGCTCGTGGTCGATATTCTGTTCAGTTATTTAATAGTTATTTGCTCATTAATGTTATTGCATACCGAACAAGCAATATGAGTCGTTCATGGTATTAATAGTAAACGAACGAAAGGATGAACTACATGGGACTAATGAAAAAAATGTACAACCTTTATTTAGAATATTGAGCTATCATCTCAGTACGTTCGCAGTCCAGTATTATTTTAGGGTATTAAATATTCGACATGCCTAATTTGTACCTATATATTTACTTTGTTATACTATTTTAAAGGGCTTGTTCATTTCTTTCGGTTTGAGAAATCTCTAAAAAACTGCAAATTACCGCAAACATTTGTACTAATGACTCATTCTCGTGCTGATTCTTAGCCATTGCCTGTGCCATTGCTCTCCTCGTCGTTGTGAAGCACGTTTGAGTGCGAGCTAACAACTCAGCTGCACACACATTCACACACGCAATACAAACACAGGTATAATCTTACGCACAAACATGCATATTTACATATATACATATATGTGTGTGTGCTTTTTTTTTTGGCGAAGCCGCACTAAAATCAATACACAGAAATATATACACATATATACATACATACATATGAACATACTCTTACAAAATTTTGAAAGCTACCAAACACAACAATATTGCGAGTAGTTCTTATTTTTGTTTCAACGTACAGTCCAAACAAATCTGGATTGCGTCGGTTTAAGCAAGTATCTTATTTTTATATTTTTCTGATGCTTGCTTGTGCGTTTCGATATCCGTACTTATACCAATGTAATGAGTGACTACTTATTTGTATGTATGTATGTATGTACATGTGTATTAGCACTTGTATGTACGTAAAATGTCATTCCAACATATTAATTATATGTATGCATACCTGTACATTTAAATTTTAATATCCACATGTATGTACATACATAATTTTTATGTTTATAAAATCCTTATGAATACTTTATAGTTAAGCAACACATTCTAAATTTTCATAATAAGCTTAAAACGTTGATAAAAATACATAATAAAATTTACAAAATTATTGTCTGAAGAGCGCTTGCGCCCGATGACATACATATCATCTAATCGGTCCAACTCTGGCAAATGTGTACCTATAGAAATTCGCGTACATACGTAGATATGTACAGATGTATGTTTGTGATGTACTTTCAGCGTCTGCAGACAGACATCAACTGAATATATGTACATACATCCTGTCATGTTTTGACACATGTTCATAAATACGTATGCACGCATCTATGTAAATGTTTACACTTCCATATATTTTATACATTAGTATGGAGTGTGTGTGTATGTTAGTGCTTCAAGGATATTACAGATTCTTTTGGAAAAGGGCGCACACGGTCAAGAATCGATTATTTATGAAATTTGTTGGAAAACAGCAAATGTTTTAAATGAATTAATTATAATTCAACTGCAACCGAATTCACTATACTCTGTTTCAGGTGTAGTAACTAGTAAAGAGGGACTTTTTTAATAGGTTTGTAGCTGAGAGATAAGAATGAATATGAGTAGAAAGCATTTTTTTTTAAATTATTTTCCGCCTGATAATAGGACTTTTAAAAAATAAAAAGTATTTAGAAAGAAAGCGGTGAGTCACCGTTTTCTATGTATATGTACGTATGTATCTTTTTTTTATTTTAATAAAATAAATAAATATAGATGTAAATATAAAAATAGATAGGTTCTTTCTACTATTAAGAACTTTCTGAAACTTAGAAGCCATAATTAACTTATCTAGAGGAAATAAATTAGTTCTCTGTTTCCATTCCGATGCTTCCTTACTATTTTTAGTTCTTCACCTGTAAGTATTTAGTAGCATTGCATATATGTATTTAGTAGGTACATATATAATTTAATGTATATCTATAAGTTAATTTAATTTCAGGTATATTTAAAGTTTCCGATAAAACTCTAATCTATCAATAAATATAAAAAGGTTATATGAAAAAGAATATATAAAAGATTATGTTACCATATCAATCATAATTAAAAAGCTTTATAAAGGCTAGGTCAGGGCAGAATACTTTAGGTGGAGCTACCCTGAACTTTAAATTTTCAGAGGGTTATTATATGTGTGAATTTGGGCGAAACGAGAAGTTGAATTTAAATTTTCAATGAATTATAGGTGTATATTTATTTATATATCTTGTATCTTATCGATTTATATTGTAATTCTCCTACACTAGGTTGGAAAGTCAGACATGAAAGCATACATTTTTTATTTTTTCTGGTCGATTACTACTCTAATATAGTTCTAACATTATTTCGACAATGATATGTATTACCTATTTTCAAACATTGTGAATGTAAAATATTTGATACGGTTTAAAGTAATGAATTTATTGAAAATCTAGAGCATTATCAATGTGTCTTTATCTGGGAAAACTTTCAGAAAACGTTTCTATATAATTAAGCACTCATATATGTTCGTGCTGTATACTTAATCGAATGAGACATATGAAGCTTGATAGCAGTATGTTGATAATAAAGTTATATGCGATAAGAGAATACTTGTTATGACGCAAGCTGAAATCTTGCGACGGTTTCAAGTAAGATTATCTTTCTGGATGCAGCTCAAGTCAGTAATTTCTGGTAAGTTAGTATGTTGAGAACTATTTACGAAAAGATCTCAATTGGTTTGATGACCGAAATGCTTACGTAGGGGTTGACTTTATCAAAAAATGAAGCCCTTATACAATAGTCAAGTGGCTATTGAATTCGTCATATATATTTTGATCAGCGTTAACATCCTGGTAGCTGCTATTTGTCTTTCCAACGTTATCTATCTAGCTACATAGATGCACTATGAATTATATATTATTTTTGACGCTATAATCTAAGTCTGGCATCGGTCTATACATAAGAAATATATAATGGTAATAGCTGGATGTTTTATCGATTGATGAATAACTACTTAGCATATAAGTTATTAGAAATAAATCATCTCTTTTCTTATTTCTTTTTCAAAATTTCTTTTGTAAATCTACATACATTTATTAGTAGTTCATAATATTGTTAAACGTTACTATATATGGTATTATTTTGGGTTTTACCTTTCAGTTGTCGGCTCATAAAATTGATTTTGTATGAATAACAACTTCTTGTTCACTTGGTCGTCTATATATATTAAGTATATTCTATCGGATGCATCAATATGCATAATACTTATGTATGCATTTTTAATAAAGTAAATGTGTACATTAATCATTCTTAGAAGACGTTCTCTCGATGCCAGTAGTATATAAATTATATATCACTCTTATTTATTGATCTATAATCATTCTGTATGATATGACTCTAATCTATTGATATAGAGCTTAAGGATAAAAGAGTTATAATCCAAATATAAATTTTGAATTATAACTCTTCAAAATAACGTCGAATAATCTGTTTTCGGTTTATATTATATATATATTTGGTAGGATGGTTTTATTTATTTGTTTATTTATTTTTCTTTTTCAATTACCTTTACTATAGGTTCGAATCTACCTTCCTCAAAATGTTTTGAATCTATTATTTCGTTATACATAGTTATGGTTATTATTGAACAAGTAAGAAAGCTCTAGTCGAGACTGCTCGACTACGAGATCCCCTGAACCCTTGGAGTAATAGCTATTTCAATAATTTTTCGCGTCTTTCAGCTTACAACATACACACACACACACACACACACACACACACACACATACACACACACACACACACATACACACACACATACACACACACACACACACANGGTGGGGGGTAAATTTTAACAAAAACCGAAATTGTATAAATTGCATATAAGCATACATTAAAAATTTGGAGACTCTAGCAATAAAGGTGTAGAAGATATAATTTTATAACTGGTTTTCGATAAGGTTTTTTATCGATAAAAAAAGATCGGGATGAGTTATCGATTTTTAATGATAAACTCGATATCCGCGCTGTAATTACGGACATTTAAAAAAAAATTTGAAGTCTCTAGCTCTTATATCTTCTGAAATTGACGCGTTCATACATACGGACAGACGGACAGGGCCAAATCGACTCAGCTCGTCGCCCTGATCAAGAATATATATACTTTGTGGGGTCTGTCAGGCCTTTTCTGCCTGTTACATACATTTCAACAAAACCATTATACCCTGATTTCCCATTGAAAATGGGTTCAGGGTATAAAAATGAGAATGTGTAAATGAAGTTTTTCAATAATTATTTCCAATCAATTATATTAATTATCCCTATTTTTTTCTAACAGAGATCGGAAACGGCGACAGGCTGAGAGTGATAAAACTTTTCGCATCATTGGATTACGTTTGGAAGATGATAGCTCTGAGTCCAATGATGGAGTACCGAGTGTATTGAGTAATAAGGAACAGACGATTCGCGTTTTCGGTGTTGAATTACAGAAAAACACAGTTATCGCGTTTACAAGTGAAGAGAATGATTATAAAGGAGCTTGTTTGAAGCCTATGACCGAAATTTTTAAGCCGGACCATGTTGCCGATAGCGGACTTACTGCAACATATACGGTTAAATTTCCGTACTCAAAGAGCGTATTGTATATTTGTGCGAAAATTGACGACAACGGAGTAGCTGTGAGTTTTACATAAATAGTTTCAGAATAACTTAAAATCATGTATTATTACTGATTTTTGTTAACAGCACCAGAGTGCGGCTGAAACCACACCCCTTGTACATCAAGGCAATGACAAATGGATGAAAATCGAAACGCATCAACCACTTTTGCCTCTTTGGGTCGCAATTGTGATTATTGTAATATGTTTATGTTTCTCAGCTTTGTTCTCCGGTCTTAACTTAGGTCTTATGGCTTTGGACCGTACTGAGTTAAAAGTATGTAATTGAAGGTAAACCCATTAACCGTTTAAATATAAAAATAATTTACCTCAGATATTACGAAATACTGGCACGGAAAAAGAAAGAAAGTATGCCGCGAAAATTGCACCTGTCAGAGATCAAGGTAATTATCTGTTGTGCAGTATTCTCTTGGGTAATGTGTTGGTTAACTCCACCTTTACCATTCTACTGGATGGTTTGACTTCTGGACTTTTTGCTGTCATATTCTCCACCTTGGCTATTGTACTTTTCGGTGAAATAACACCCCAGGTAGGCATTCAATTAACTATATGATTGGTTTCTGTAAAAGTAACACGCTGAATCAAATTAATCCATTTTATGGATTTATTATAATTGACTGATGCCACTTCGAAATTCTCAAACGGTTGTACTTTTTCTTAATTATCAAAAATAATAGTAATGGTTAATATGTAAGTTTATATATGTAAGGAGTTGATATAAAAATAGGTATGTCTATATACAAAAAACAAAAAATTTAAAATACACTATTATTTTATATTGTACGCTTTAAAGAATCTCAAAAAGTTGAAGTTCTCAATTAGTTTACCGTGTTGTAAAGGAACATTTCGATCATTTTAATTTTTGAACACACTTCCCCATACTTAACGTTTAAGGTTCCGTCCCCCGTCTCCTTGAATGTAAAAACATTTTAAATAACAGGGTCTGGCTTTACACCCAGTTGGATACCTTTTGGTTGCTATAGTCGATGACTCACTCTTCCTATTGAATTTTAAATGTGGGTAAATGTAACGTAATAGAACGAAGCACACTTAGACAATCTTTAATAGGATTGCGTTGCTGCGACTGGAGAGAGAAGCTCCTAATTAATTAATTAATAATCCAGATTCGTAAGTATGGGCAATTATATTAAACAAAATTCAGTGACAATCAAAACATTAAAAAAAAAGTATAAAAATTGCAAAAGTTTTAAGCCGGTGCAAACGTTTAATCTTTAAAATTGTTTGTAAATTAGGTGAAAATAAAAAGATAATAATAATAACTAGCGATGATAATAGATAACAATATTTGAAAATAATAAGTCGCATAATGCATCTGTGCGTGAAGAGACTCCATAGTCTTATCTATGCCTTTATTTTCTATTGGCAGTTTTCTTTTTTTTTTTTTTTTTAAATTWTTACTTTTTTTCTCGACACATGACACAAGAGACAGATTCAAATAATTACCATTATTACTCAATTACATTTAATAGTATTGCTTTATACATATTAGTTTAATTCGTAAACAAGACAAGATGGCCCCTAATAGATTTTAAGTGACTTGTTTATGCTTTTTGATTAATATATTATATATATTAACGAACATGACACCAATACACACAACTGTTAAAGCCTAGTTATGCGCAACAACTTTGTATGGTATCTGACAAACGCATTTATTGCTTATGGTTAGAATAAAAAAAATTCTATTTTTCATGGGTTAATTTGAAATTTATAACGGCGTAACTCTTACGGTAATCTATCATTCTTATCTTTCAAAATAAAACTATTTTCACAAATATTTTTTTATATATTCAAAAAAAAAAAAAAACAAAAAATAATAATATAGGCTGTTTGTTCAAGACACGGTTTAGCTATTGGTGCCAAAACTATATTGATTACCAAAACGGTAATGGCCATAACAGCTCCACTATCGTACCCAATATCTCGTCTTCTAGATGCATTATTGGGTGAAGAGATTGGTAATGTATTTAATCGTGAACGTCTAAAGGAACTTGTCCGTGTAAGTAAAAAAATGTCTAAAAGCTTTGATTTTCATTATACTAATGAAATGGTTATACGCAGGTTACAAACGACGTAAATGATTTGGATAAAAATGAAGTGAATATCATTTCTGGCGCTTTGGAGTTACGTAAGAAAACTGTCGCCGATATTATGACTCACATTAATGACGCCTACATGCTCTCACTGGATGCCGTGCTAGACTTTGAGACTGTATCTGATATTATGAACTCTGGTTATTCGCGAATTCCGGTATACGACGGGGATAGGAAAAACATTGTGACTTTGCTCTATATTAAAGATTTGGCATTCGTAGATACTGATGATAACACGCCGTTAAAAACGCTGTGCGAATTTTACCAAAATCCAGTTCATTTTGTTTTTGAGGACTACACTTTAGATATAATGTTTAATCAATTCAAAGAAGGTACGATCGGTCATATCGCCTTTGTTCATCGTGTTAACAATGAAGGCGACGGTGATCCGTTCTATGAAACCGTTGGCCTTGTTACATTGGAAGACGTTATTGAAGAGCTCATTCAAGCAGAAATAGTCGATGAAACCGATGTGTTCGTTGATAACCGTACAAAAACACGTCGCAGTCGTTATAAAAAAGCTGACTTTTCCGCGTTTGCTGAACGTCGCGAGGCGCAAACTGTTCGCATCTCTCCTCAATTAACATTGGCTACATTCCAATACTTAAGTACAGGTAATAAATAGGCAGCCATGAATTTGCTTGTTATTTAACAATCTTAAAATATTCCCACTTATTTCGTACAGCTGTGGATGCGTTTAAGAAGGATGTCATTTCAGAACCAATATTGCGGCGATTACTTAACCAAGATATTTTCCACAACATCAAAGCAAAGGGAAAACCGAAAGATGATCCCAGCCTGTTCATATTTACGCAAGGAAAAGCAGTTGACTTTTTTGTACTTATATTAGAGGGTCGCGTAGAAGTAACGATTGGCAGAGAGGGACTACTTTTTGATAGTGGTCCATTTACTTATTTTGGTACACAAGCATTGGTACAGAACGTAGTTGTTGGTAAGTATATACAGTTAAAAACTACAATTAAAATAAATCAATTTAAATTGTGTATCTCGTTATAGACTCTCCAACTCAGATGGGGTCGATGCAGTCGTTAAATATGGACTCGAAAATTCGACAAACTTTCGTTCCAGATTACTCCGTTCGCGCTGCTACAGATGTGATATATATTGCAATTAAACGTAGCCTGTACCTAACTGCGAAAAAAGCAACTTTGTTAGAAAAGAGCCGTAAATCGGGCACATTTTCAAGTGAGACAATCGATGACGAAGTTGAACGGTTGCTTCATTCCGTAACTGAAGATGAGAAGCCTCGATTCCTGTCAGCGAGGCGGCTATCCAAGCCTAATCGAAGTGTAACATCGTCACCCACTAACAATACTATATCTCATGAGGATCGAAGTAATAGTGCTAGTGGTCCAATCCAAGCTAGTCATAAAATTGGGCCCGAACGAACTGAAGATGGTTCATTCAGTAGTTTGGTTACCTCGGATGTTGCAGGGGATCTTCAGAATGGGGAAAATGATGACAGGGATGGAACAACGGCGTTAGCCCCGCTTTTACCAAAGCCGGAGGACAACAACGAATCTAGGCAAAACAAGCCACAATAACGACCGTCTACAGACTATCCTTTACTGGAAAACTAGATGCGCAGATTCAATTGTCCATAATATTTTCCTTTCAATCACATTTGCTCTAACGTATAGCCGACATACGATTGTGTTTCCTTACATATTTTTCCTTAATTATTGTTGAACTTGCAATTTGAATAGAATATTGTTTCAATGATTTTGTAGAACTCTTAGAGATAAACTTTTGTGTACAGCAAATTAATACAAAACAATCAATATGGTATTTGTTTATTGTTTTTGATAAATTTCGAGTGTTAAAATTTATTCACAATTACACATAATAAAATACCTCATAAAGTACGTACTTAAGGAGAGAAAAGAAGCGCCACTGCTTATAATCCACCCCATGTTTCTACTTCCGATATAAAGGCATTATTAACAATATGTTTATGATCGCAGCATTAATAAAAACATGTAAAGTTTCTGTATTGTTCAGTGTAAATCCTTAAACGGTTAGTTTTTTTCATACTACAAGTCAGCCTAAATATGTTATTTAAGTAACGATATTCCTATACTATACCAATGTGCACAAGTTTTTTGTTTTTAATGTTATTTAATGTTTGCGTTATTTCTATATTATCCTGCGTCAAGTATAATAAAAAAAAAAAAGATAAATCACATTATATTAGA